AATTTTATAGCATTGCTTCGATTTATGAATGTCGATGTGCAAAAACATTTGGAAATTGCTCCGGCTAATGCTACAATAATTAGTAAAATTATTCAAAATATTATCATTTCTTTATGTAAAGAAGAATATCTGTGCGATATTTTCATTTAAATGAGCTTAGACAAGATTTCATCCGAAATTCAATTCCGGAGTAAGCTCCTCAATCGGATCTCCGGGAGGAGCAGTTACAAGTATAACAAAAAGATTAAAGTGCAAAGAAAACGTCAGAATAGGCACGTGGAACGTGAAAACCATGGCACAGGAAGGTAAAATCCATAATACAATATAAGAATTGGCACACGTGAAATTAAATATTCTGGGAATAAGCGAAATGTGTTGGCCAGGTTCAGGATAGGCAAATATCGGGGAATACCGAGTTTACTATTCTGGAACAGATAACGGCAAACATGAATTAGGTGTCGGCATTATATTGACAAAAGAAGTGGCAAAATCTGTAGATAACTTCGTCCCAATTTCAGTAAGAGTGATGCTCATACAACTACAAGCAAGACCAATCGACATCAATATAATTCAAGTATATGCACCTACAACAGAAGAAACAGATCTCATAATGGTCATGGGTGATTTCAACGCCAAAGTTGTAGCCAGCAAAACAACATCTGCAGTTGGACCATTTGGTCTAGGAAACTGGAATGATCGGGGAGATATATTGGAGATTTTTGCGGAAGCAAATCAATAAGTAATAATGAACACATGCTTTAAGCTACACCCAAGGAAACTGTATACCTGGAAATCTCCACAGGATACTGTGGGAAAGATTGTAAGAAATCAGATTGATTACATGCTAGTAAATAAGAGGTATAGGAACAGATGTACATCTGTCAAAACATACCAGGGTGTAGACATAAATTCTAATCATGTACCAGTTGTAGGTAATTTCAAAGTCAGAATGAAGGAGGTTACAAGTAACTTGATGAAGAAGTATGATTTAAGAAAACCGAAAGATCCCAATGTTCGACTGAAGGTGAGTGGAAACCTCAATACAAGGGTGCTAACATGCAAAAATGCAGAAACTATAGAGTAAAGGCTGACCATCATACAAGAAACAGTGAGAGAAATAAAAAAACATCACCCGAAGAAAGACACAGAGAAACGGAAATCGTGGATGACCGATGAAATACTTGAGCTTATGGATCAAAGGAAAAAAAACAAAGAAAATCTCCACAAATATAAGAAAATACATACCATCGTCAGAAGAAAAATAAGAGAAGCTAAAGAGAAACAAAAAACAGAACAATGTCAAGAAATAGAAGAGTATAAGAGTTGATATGATAACTTCAATGTTCATCGAAAGGTAAAGGAAATAGCAGGAAAGTTTCGAAAACGCAACAGCAGAAAAATAACAGATAATGAAGGCAATCTTGCCATAACCAAAGACGATAAAAAAAGTATGGGAAGAAGACTTGGGGCAACTTTTCCATGACCTTAGAACAATAGAAGAGCCCACCATTGAAGAAAATTTAGGTCCCGAAATCCTACCAGAAGAAATAACGGCAGCCGTCAGACAAATGAAGTATGGAAAGACACCATTACTTGATGAAATTCCTGCAAAACTGCTGAAGCTATAAGATGCAGAACAAATACAAATAATAACTGAAATATTTAATGAAATATACAAGACAGAAAAAATACCAGTAGAGTGGCTCAAATCGGAGTTCGTACCATTGCCCAAAAAACCAGGAGCAAAAGTTTATAAAGATTATAGGACAGTAAGCCTAATGAGTCATCCGCTGAAGCTGTTTTTAAAAGTCATCCACAAAAGAATTTAACGGAAATGCGAGGAACAAATTGCGCCCAATCAGTTTGGATTTGTGAACGCCGTTAGTACGAGGGAAGCTTTATTTAGCGTGTAAAATCAAAAATATAGAGATGTCAGCTCTAATGTTTTTGCATGCCTGATTGACTACAAGAAGGCTTTCGATAGAGTCAGGCATGAACAAATGATGTAAGTGCTGAAGAGGACAGGGGTTAATGGAAGAGACTTAAAAATTATAGCTAATCTGTATTGGAATCAATCAGCGGTACCTCGAATAGATGGAGAATATACAGATAGAGAATAGATCTTAAGGGGAGTGAGACAGGGGTGCATGATTTCACCACTGATATTCAATCTGTACTCGGATCACATGTTTGAAGAGGCCCTCAGAGATATTGATGAAGGCATCTCAATAAATGGAGTCAAGCTCAATAACCTGCAGTATGCAGATGATACAATAGTGTTTTCCAATACCATAGAAGGGCTGCAAAACTTAATGAACAGAATAACGGAAACAAGTAGAACATATGGACTGGATATAAACAACAGCAAAACCAAGCTAATGATCATCAGCAAGGAAAACATAACTGGAGCAAATCTGTATGTGAACCAAATGAGAATTGAACGTGTCTCACAATACAATTACTTGAAAACTATAATCAATGAGTTGTGGGACAATACCCAAGAGATTAAATGTCGTATCGGAAAGACCAAAAGTGCATTCTTGACTATGAGCTCTGTGTTCAAGAACCATGACCTCACCCTGAAAACAAAAATAAGGCTCCTCAAATGTTACGTGTACCCAGTGTTTCAGTATGGAGTAGAAACGTGGAAATTAAAGGCGGAAACTCTATCAAAACTTCAGGCTTTTGAGCTATGGTTATACAGAAGAATCCTGTAGATACCATGGACTGAAAAAGCCACCAATGAAGAAGTACTGCGGAGGATGAACACAACCGCGGATTTGGTCAACATCGTCAAGAGCCGTAAACTGGAGTATTTGGGACATATAATGAGAAAAAAAGGCAGATACGAGCTACTCCAATGCATTTTGCAGGGTACTGAACGAAAAAGAGCCCCAGGACAAAGAAGAATAATATCCTGGCTTGCTAACCTGAGAGCATCGTATAGAAAGACCTCAACACAGCTATTTCGTATAGCAACCAACAAAATTATCATAGCCAGAATGATCGCCAACGTTCGGAACTGACAGGCACCCTAAGAAGAAGAGAAGTTTTCATCACATTTGTTAACGCCTACTATTCGATTCGAGAAGAAGACGTCGGTTCAGAAGGAAAACGACGACGCTTAACTGGAGTTGCTTCAGACCACATTGTTGAAGATTCCGTAAATAATTTTAATTTAAATTAAAATTTTGCGTAGGTTTTGGTGTTGACAGTTGCTCAGTAATGGCATCCGAAACGAAAGGTGCCGTTAACGAATTAAAAAAATCGACCAAACTTGCTTTGCGTAGTTCATGCGGCAATCATCTTTTGAATCATTCTTTGGCAAGCTCCTCAAAAGTTATATTTTTCTCCTCTGTAAATATGTCCTAGATAACTCGTTTTTCTGTTTTTTACAATATTTAGAAGTTCTCTCTCAAAACCCATTCTTCTTAGCACCTCGTTGTTGGTAACGTGCTCTGTCCAAGAGATCTTTAGCATCCTTCGAAAAACCCACATCTCAAAGGCTTCTATACGCCTCATACTTGTAATACCGAGAGTCCATGTTTCCACTCGCTATAGCAATAAGGAATAAATGAATGTTTTTATAAATTGATATCAGATATCCAACAATAAGAGGGATTGGGAATGTTTAATAATGGGAAGAGAGATTGGGAATGTTTAATACATTCATAATGTTTACACTTACATTGAGTTATTGCATTTAAATTACTTAACTTTGGCTTATACTTATTTATCCTGTGTTTTTTCTTGATTTTGAAGCCATAGGATAGGTGGGTTTAAATTGGTTCTTGATTTTTCAGTATGTATATTTTAATTTTCCTTTGGTTTAATACTGTAACAGCCTTTTACACTCGATTTTACTCTCACAGGGTATGTGGGTTTAATTTTTTTTTTGGTTTAAATTTGAGACCCCTTAATGTTGTATCCTTCTTCGCACCAGTAGGGTATTTGGGTTTTAATAACTTCTCATCGGTTTAATATATAATTGGTTTAATATTTCGCTTAAAATAATTATTGAAAAAATGGTTTCCTTACATGAGGCACAAATCATACCGAAATCACCCTCATGATCCCATGATCCCATCCCCGGACAAAAATTTCTGGGGAACAGGAACCTCTGCACCACTGAAAGGTGCAAAAATCTAAATCCTATATCAAAATCATCCCGCATGTCCCCCCCCCCCCGACAAAAACTTTTGGATCCGCCACTATTCGATGATAGTAATTTTGTTATTAATGCAGCATAATGCGCGTCCACATACAGCTCAAATCATCATGCACTACCTAAATACTGTCGGGATTCCCGTTTTGGATTAACCCTCTTGTAGCCCTTACATGAATCCATTAGACATTAGAACATTGACGGGACTTTTTTAAGAGAAAAAGATTAAAAAGACCATTGCCAAAAAATCCTCCGCAGATGTAGGGTGAGGGGGCAATATCCGATACTAAACCTAAAAAACCGCCTACTGTGGACAATTAAATTTTTTCTTTTGTTTAATTTTTTAAACAATGTAAATATTTTTTTCGTTACTTCTTACTTTGTTTGGGTTACTTATTTTTCCTGTTTATACTTTTTTAGTGTTTTAATTAAACGATTTCTATATTATTATCTTGATACCTACAGAATTTAAAAAAACAACGTATAAAATGCAAGTGTCCTTATTTTTTTGACCATAGGTGTATTTCAGATCCTAATTATTTATTGGTTGATACTTTTGCTGTAAAATGATAAGAGTTTATATGAGACACAAAACATATTTTAAGACCAATACAAATCAACTTAATTGTTACTTGTAAACAGACTACTATTAATACTGACGTATCCCTTTGGTCAGATTAAGTGCAAAAAGAGTGCATTAGTACTCAACTACGTTAATTACCAAAATAGATTTATTTCACCAAATAAATCTATTTGATTCTCTAACCCTTGCACTTAACGATAATAGAAAACAAAAAAATTGTATATATACTAAAACTATTCGAATAATTAATTTACTAGTAGTTATTAAGAAAATTTACTTACTAAATATTAAGAAAATAAGGGAAAGCGTTGGTCCAACATTAATTTCAAAGAAACTGGTGATTTTAATATATGCAAAAGGTAAGATATTGCTAGTTCGATGGTTGTAGAATAGAAGTTAATAAAAGTTATCTATCATTTTTCCTGACTTTATCGCTATCTCAAATCGACTTACTGCTCCATTTCTTAATATGTTTCCCATATTTTTTTTATCATTTTTTTATATCTTACACACTGTATATTGTTTCTCTATTGTATTAATAACAAAATTGACAATAATTTATTTAAGCTTAATAAATAATACTTTCAGTCTAATAATAGAATGATACCTTCTTTATTTTAATATTGTTCTGAAGCTATTTTCTTGTGGCATTGTAAATTAATTACTATTTATAACTGGGAATAAGCCACAATTAAAGATAAAAATACGTTTATTGACGTTTTAATTTCCAATTCGGAAATCGTTCTCAAAATACAAACAGTAAATTAAACAAATTTTGTTTTTTGTTACATAGTGAAAAAATTCTTCTAATAATTTAATTTTATCTGACTCATTTATATTGACAATTCAGACATACATTATGCATTTTAAAGTAGACGACTTTAAAATGATATTGCCAATATTGTTGAGTTGCGCTCCTGGGACTACTTTACTTATAAGATAGTTCATTCGATTACATGAAATCAACTTTAACTTGAGAATATCCGTCAGAAAAAATCATAGCATGTAATTCGTCTTTAAAAAGACAAACACATGACATGATGACAGTAAAATTCTCCTGTTAGTGATTCCATAGTAAATTATGAGGGAAAAACCAGGAAAAAAACCTCATAATACTATCCCGACATTGTAAGTATTTGTTCGTGAATTTAGTTTACCTTCAACAAACATCAAAATTCTGATTTTATATGTTACGTTATTTAAAAAACACAAATGATGTATCCGCTATATGTTACTGACTTATTAATACTGGTATTTTCTTATTAATAACTTCCTCTTTCAATATTGGTAACCAGATCCTACTACAGTAAAGTCGTCCCAGGAGCGCAACTCAACAATATTGGCAATATCATTTTAAAGTCGTCTACTTTAAAATGCATAATGTATGTCTGAATTGTCAATATGAATGAGTCAGATAAAATTAAATTATTAGAAGAATTTTTTCACTATGTAACAAAAAACAAAATTTGTTTAATTTACTGTTTGTATTTTGAGAACGATTTCCGAATTGGAAATTGAAACGTCAATAAACGTATTTTTATCTTTAATTGTGGCTTATTCCGAGTTATAAATAGTAATTAACCTTCTTTATTATTACAAATAATTTTTTTAATTAAAATTGTGGCTTATTCTCAATTAAAATAGTAAATTGCGTTAAGATTCCACAAGAAAATAGCTTCATAACAGTTTTTTTATTGTATTGTAAAATAAAAAATTGTATTTTTTGACTCTGTGAACTGTGAGGTTATTATTAATTTTTGTGTTACATTTAAATTATTTATTGATACAACTTAAACTGCTATGACATTTAGATCCACAAAAAAATTTTTGCTTGAAACAAGCACATTCATGCTACGGCATTGTTTTTGTGCTGGTTTACATGAGCATTTTTGAAAACCTTGCCTCCCAAACTTAAATTCTATAGTCACCGCTTCTCGAAAAGATATTGATCTCGAAAAGATATTCATCATTATAGCTTTCCGTTGACGAGTGCAATTCTGATTGTACAAACCAATTTTTAATAGTTTTTGTTTTGTACCTTTTCTATAAACTCCATTACTAAAATCCACAATTTTTCCTTTAATATTTTTGGTGTCGAAAGGTCCACGATCCACTTTCCGTAGACTTATCAGAACACTACTGCTAATTAGTAGAGATGTCAGTTTTTTTTGCTTTGTTCAACTGCACGTTTTAAACTTTTGTGGGGATCATTTCTTTATGTTTGCTTCCGTTTTTCATATAAAACATATGTGACATAAACAGGATTATTGCAAGACCTACAGCTATGGCCACTAGTGATAGTGTTCTGACATGTGACACAAATTGGTTCAATGTACTCAGTCCTCTTTAACTGACTAGATTCTTCGTCAATGTTATTAGTATCAACATTTGTAGAGGAATTGTCACCTAGATTTGAGGAACTATAATTTCTAAATAAACATTATTATTTATTAGATTCGTATCAGTATTAATGATTTCACAATTCCCAGGATTTTCAGGTTGTTCGAGTAATGTCTCTGTGATTTAAGTTTCATCGTTTTATGCTACATTCGAACTCTCGGTGTTTAAACTATGATGCTGTATCCCAGTAATATCGTCACATTTCCCATTTTTTAATTTTTGTAACTGTTCTTCTGTTTCAATATTTATCAACAATTGGGAGGGTATATTAGTACCTTTTAAACCAGCTTTGGGATCACTACCAAACATGCTTTATAAGGAGACCTCTCGATGATCCGATAAAAAGAAGAATATTTTTGGTACTGACGAAACAAACAACCAATAAAGCTCTTGCTTGAATTTTTGTCCGTCATCTAAGAACGTCTAATATTTTTCACGTCCTGGTTGCTACGTTCAACGCTGCCCTGAGTTTGAGGGCGCCTTAGGCTACCATGTAAAATTTTGCTATCAGGTCAGAGTACAACTAGTTTTTCTATCATATTTGCCGTAAACTCTCGTTCATTGTCTGATTGTAAAACATATAGAGCACCAAAAATCATAAATATTTCCATAAGTTTCATTAATACCTCACTCGCCATTTTCGTTTTAAGTGGACGAAGATTCAAAAATTTTGTAGCATTATATTCGTAATTGATCAGCCATTTATATTCGTAATTAATACGAGATTAAAAATAAATTAAGTCAACCTATCTTCGAATAGTAAAATCTTGAGAAACAATAGGTCGTGTTAAGATACCTTTTCCGAGAAAATTATTGCACGTGGGACAGAGTGACACAAATATTTCAACAGCTTTTTCTAAACAGGCTTTACGACATTTCAACAGGTTCTTACGACTATACATCATTTTGTCTCGACCTCCACGCCCACAATATTTTTGTACAGTTTTTAGTATATGAAAATATTCCTCTTTGATGTATTCATGATCAGTCAGTTTTCATTAAATTTGAGCTCAGTTGAATTGCTTGTAACCAACTCCATTATCTCTAATTTATAAAATCACTAGGACTTATTTTGATTCATCTTTTATCATTTTTACTCACAACCAAATAAGAATAACAGCGGTTGTCACCATATTGTAAACAATGTGTTGAATCACTTTTAAATGTTATCATAAAGATTTGACTTCTGACTGACTGAGTAATTCAGTTGAATGGCGTTGTTCCAATCAAATATGGTCAGGAAACAAATTACGTCAATGATATGGCGGCTTTTGAAACAGCCACGTCGTTAAATTTTTTAATAGCATTAACATTCGACACAATAACTAGTCGTGTGATTCAATGGCGTTATTCAATCAAAGGGTTAGCTATTTAATTGAACGGCTAATTTAACCACCTGGCTGTGACATATGTAAACTAACATGTGATAATCGCCCAAAAATCTATATAGGTCAAACTGGTAGAACCTTTAACAAACGTATAGCAGAACACAAAAGGGCTTTCAATAATAGAAACACAGATTCTATGAACTCACTTCACCTTCTACATCGTAATCATTCCTTTTGTGACCAATTTTTGATTCTTTATATCATACAAGTGATAATAAATTATAATACATTTTGGGGAACATTCAACATTTCAAAACTCCATTGTTATTTACTAATTATTTTCTTTTGATTTCTAGTATTCTTTTTCGTAAAGATGTTGTTTATTCTGGTAATGGCTCTAGTTCTAATTGTAATATACCACTACATACTGAAACCATTGACATTTTGGCGAGAAGTAGGCGTAAACCAAGAAGATCTATATTCTGCTTTTATCTTCAGCTGGTTTTTTATGTTTCAAAAAAATACCTTGGCCGATAATATGAGTTTAATGTACAACAAATTTCCTGATTGTCGATATTACGGAACTTATCAGTTTAACATACCGTCTCTGATAATAAAAGACGTCGATCTGGTGAAACAAATCACTATCAAGGACTTCGAACACTTCAGTGATCATCGACACATGTCGGATGAAGATGTGGATCCTTTGTGGGCCACTAATTTATTTTCACTAAGAGGTAAGTACAGTCTCTTAGTTCCTAAGACAATTTTTATAGGCTTGTTTATACATTTTAAAATAACAAACTAATAGGACATAATAAACATGCCAGGAGACATATTTCTTCACTATTAATAAATGAACCTTTCTTTACCTCTACCTTTGTTTTTCCATAACTTAGTCTCTGTATGTACTTATTCTTTCTGCATTCTAGAGTTCATCATCATTTAATACGTGTTGCGTCATTAAACTTGGTCCATTTTTTCATGCAACTCATTTTTCGTTTGGTTTGTAACTAAATAGGTATTCAGTTAGTGTATTTTCATCTAATATGTTTACGTTTCCATTTTGTTATGTATTCTTTAATTTTCTCATTGATTAAGTAGGTATTTAGTTCCTATATCATAACTACATTTATTTATCTATAATTGAACAATTTGTTGATACTTTGTTGTATTTGTTTCTATCTTTTATAATTTTTAATTTGTAATTTGTATTTGGAATCAATGTCTCTTTTTCTCTCGAAACTTCTGTGACACTCTACGTAATTGAAATGGCTCGCTTTTTTTATTGTGCATTTGTTTATTTCATGGAAACATTTGTTTGTTTTAGGAGTGAAATGGAGAAGAATGAGATTAATTCTAAGTCCCTCGTTCACGAGTAGCAAAATGAAAATAATGTTCTCTCTCATTAGTGACATTTCTCAAAAGGTTGCAGACTACTTTGTAAGTAAGAACACAGACGTTGTGGAAATAGAAATGAAGGAAATTGCCACAAAGTACTGTACTGACGTCATAGCATCCACAGCCTTTGGTCTGGAAGTACACTCATTAGCTGATCCAGAAAATGAGTTTTATAAAAATGGTGCGAAGTTGGCAAACTTGAACGATTTCCGAAAAATTGCGAGTTTTCTTATTAATATGTTCTTTCCAAATATTGCAAAAGTAAGTGATGATATGACAATAGAATTATTATATATGTAATCATTTTAAAATCATGAATGTGTTGCTTGTGTGAGTCCGTTTCAAATAGGTAAAAGAAATAATAAATAAAGACTTACTCACAATCAGTTTAATTTAACTATCTAGATGACTGTTTTTGCTTGCTACAATTTACAAAGCATCTTCAGGTCTGTCGATACAAAGTTAATTAAATGATGCCGGTACACGATTTATTAATGGTTGGGAGAACATAGTTCAAACTATCCTGTAATTGCTGATGATGGGGATCTTCAGTTTTTACTATTGTAACTGTTTGACAACCAACGGGGAAACTTCTTGAGGAGATAGATTTTATCCAGTGGAGTAGAAAAAGGGTGGAATTTTAAGGTTTGTTAAATGAAAGTGATGTAAAAGACGGTCCATTATTGAGAAAAAAAAAGGATTCTGGTGCCCATCGAGTATTACGGAATATGCATTTAAATGTTAAATATATATTTTAATAGTAAAGTATTACTTACATGTATTTTTCTTTTACTTTGTGGGGTTGCCGTAATTGTATTAAAATGTATCAGTATATAGTCCGACCCTGCATAGAACTATACCTAGAAGATTAAATCCGAAATATCTTGCAACGAACAGTACATTTTGTCATTTTGGTAGATGTTTTCAATAGTTTTTATGATATTTAGGGGAACTTCTTTATTATACAGAAGATGGATTATATCTTTGAGTCTTACTCTGTCAAATACTTTCTTTAAGTCAATCAGACACTGAAATGATAGTCTATTATACTCTAGAGATTTCTCAGTAATTCGATTTATGAAGAATATTGTATCTGTATACGATCTTCTAGTTCATCTGCTAAACTTGTCCTTTGATTCAGTAGTCTTTCAATGAAAGCCTCATATCTCAATCTAATAATACACGAGGTCTGGCTATTAAATAACGAGACTGCGCGCGCTGAAGGCGTCCTAGAGGGGTAGGGTGGGAAACGAATGCAGCGTTGGATAGCTGGAAGTGTCTACTCTTTCAGTACGAAAACACGTTTTTATCTCTGTAGTAGTATTTTTTCTGTAGAGGTTAAAAACGAAAGTGTTTTTTTTTTCGTGCCGATAACAATATCTAACGAAAAACACGAGCAACGGATCATTGTGAAATTTCTCGTTAAATTAAAAAAAACTCGAATGAGTGCTATAAGTTGTTGAAAGAGGCCTATGGTGAGAATTCTCTATCTCGTGCGCGTGTTTTCGAATGGTATAAAAAGTTTTCTGAAGGTCGAGAGAGCACCGAGGATGACCAACGTCCAGGTCTACCTGTCTCTGTTTCAACTCCGCAAATAGTGACCACAATAAATGAAATTGTGCGCGTAGATCGTCGTATGAGTATTCGGATGATTTCTGAGACTGTAAACGCCAATAAAGAAACTGTCATAAAAATTTTACATGACGAATTGAACATGAAGAAAGTCTGTGCGAAGTTGGTCCCAAAAATTTGACCCCTGACCAAAAGCTCGTCCGTCAACAGATCTGCTCAGATTTTCTTCAGCGGTTAGATGAAGAGCCTGCATTGATGGAAAACATCATCACTTGCGATGAAACCTGGATATTCTAATACGATGTTGAAACTAAGCGGCAATCCATGCACTGGAAAACTCCTGCATCGCCGAGAATGAAAAAGGCAAGGATGTCGAAATCAAAATTTAAAGCCATGCTAATCGTTTTTTTTCGACATCAACGGCATCGTGATGACTAAATGGGTTCCAGAGGGTCAAACTGTAAACCAAACTTACTATTTGAAAGTTTTGACAACGCTCCGAGGGCGAGTTCGTAAGAAACCGCCGGAGTTGTGGAAAAACAAATCGTGGATCTTGCACCAGGACAATGCACCTGCCCATAACGCGCTATCTGTGAAGCGTTATTTAGCCGCTAGAGGCACTCCAGTGCTCGAACACACGCCGTACTCACCTGATTTAGCACCCTGTGACTTTTTCCTGTTTTCGAAAATCAAGTCTGCCTTAAAAGGAACCCGGTTCGAGTCGATGGAAGAGGTGAAGCGAAAATCGGCGGAGCTCCTAAATGCTCTTACAAAAGAAGACTTCCAGCATTGCTTTGACCAATGGAAAAAACGAATGGAACGGTGTGTAGCGAGGGAAGGGGAGTATATTGAAGGGGAGCATTCGATTGTAGAGTAATTTTTAAAATAAAACTCTTTTTCATAATCAGTCTCGTTATTTAATAGCCAAACCTCGTATATTATACAAAAATAAACTGGATATAATATATTTTTAAGTGTAATAAGTTTGTGTACATTGTAATTCTGTCATATGGCACTGGCTATTTTCAAAATATATGTATTTCCTAGAAAATCTATCTATATTGCAGCTGTTCAATATTCGGATCATTGACGTCGAGCATGGAGAATTTTTCAAAAATATAATAGACGATACAATCAAATTTAGAGAAGAAAAAGGCATCTGTAGACCGGACATGATCCAAATGCTTTTAGAAGCAAGAAAAAAATTATATGATCATGACAAAAAGAACGAGAAAAGTAATGATAGTATTGAAGGTAAGCTATAAAAATTCATATGTTTTGTCAATAGGTTTTCTAGTACAATATTCATAAATATCTTCAATACCAATATAAATTAAGGATATCTCGAAGACTGGTGGGTTTTTCGGTCAAAATATAGAGAGAAAAAAAAAGAAGGTAGCTACTTTATCTATTTATTGAAGACGTTTCGCTTTCTAGTCAAAAAGCATCATCAGTTCATCTAAAAAGAACAATATGGAAAACCAAGTATCCATAGAAAAGTCATTATAAGTGTGTTACTTTAAAAAGACATGAAGCAGTCAATGGTAATAAATTTGTAAACAAGCTTACGACATTGGACTTTAAATGATTATGTTGTATAAAGAATTGATTGAAACTAAATACAGTTTACAAATTAACTTAAACTCAGCACAGTAAAAGACCATGTGGTAATAGTACATGTATTATAAAAAGTATGTATAAAAAACTTACGTAAAAAAACACTTATTTATCGAGAACTAATAAGATCATAAGATCAGATTTCCAACAGTATATTAGTAGTTACATTTAATTTTTACTTTAGGTAACATTATTGAAATGATTAAGATTTTATTATAGTAATATTAAAAAGTGTAATGAAGTTACCAATTTTGGCCTTCTTAGCTTGTAGGCTGCTACCGGCAAAATGGAAGCAACAATTTAGATATACAAGCTATCACATGAAAAGACAGTTGCCTTGAGGTCAAAATATGACAGAATAATAAGGCGAGTTGCGAACCGCTAGTGCTATAGAGCGGTAAATTAAAAGAATATGATAAATCAGGTGGCAACCTTGTCAGTACAAATCAAAAAATGAAAGAAAAAGGTGCTTAAGATCACCATTTTCCCCCACTGATTGGCTCAGAGAAAAAATGAACAACTTTTTTATGGATATGGCTATTAAAGAAGTAATTTATAAGTTATATATTAGAGAATATTATAAAAAGTATTTATATGAGGGCATCCTTAAGAAATTAGCGTAATGATTTGTTTAAAAAGTTTTTATTTTGCAATGTATTTGCCTACAATTATGATATTAAAAATAGATTTATTTATGTCATCTATATAGGCAACCAAAGATACAATTACAGTAAATTTGTTATATTGGGACATTTTGTGAATAAAAGTGGTATGGGACAGTGAATTCAGGTAAAATTGAACACAAAGTGAATATTTGAAATAATAATTATGGATTAAAATAGTGTTATTTACAAATTTAAGATGTTTAATTTATATATAAGTTTACATTCTGAACTGAAAAAGCATAAAATTCTTAATAGAAAAGTAAAGTACTATCTAGAAATTTAAAATAAGACGTCAATAGAAAGAAGTTAACCTCTTTTCGTAGGAGAATATTCGCGAACATTGAAATATCTATAAAATAGAAATAGAATATTCGTGAACAATAAAATATAACTAAATACGCTGTCACTTCGAGCGTAAGGGAGTATTAGAGTATTAGGTGGAGATTAAAAATTATATTATTTAGAGTATCAGAGTATTAGGTCAAGATGAAAAATTATATTATTTGTCTGAAGATTGGAAGAGAAAAAGATTATTAGAAAGAAGATTAAGTATTGAGAAGTCAAACTGTAACAATTCATTTTTGGAAAAAGTCAAGTTTTTGTTAAATAGAAGAAAGAAACAAAATAGAAAGAAAGCAAGAAATAATAAGGCATAGCAAGTAATATATAAATAAAGTAAGTAATATATACATTATTAATAAAAAAGAAAGAATATTTTACCCATTTATAAATGTTAATAAGAAGAAAAATATTTTGAAATGGTGGACGCTGCTAATTGCAACATTGTGGTCTATTTTGGGAAAGCGATTTTATAAAAAAAAAGGATAACCAGAGGCTGATAACGGAGACATTGAGTAGCGATTAAAACCTTTATTTTGGAAAACAATTTCATTTAGGCATTCAGTGACAGAAAGGTACCAAATTTTTTTAGTATAATTTAAGTATTGTAATAAGAATTTCATTTTAGAGATAGGTTGTTTTAAATTTATATTTAAATCCTCGACTAAAAACCTCGACAAAAACCCTATATATGTTATGTAAAAATATTCATTGATCATAATACAATACAAACAAAATATCATAGCAATATATATATATATATATATATATATATATATATATATATATATATATATATATATATATATGTATATATATATATATATATATATATATATATATATATATATATATATATATATATATGTATATATATATATATATATATATGTATATATATATATATATATATGTATATATATATATATA